TCCATCAACTGTTCAAGGTGTGATCCTATATCCTAAATATGATAATATCATCATAATAGTTACTATTATTTTATCTTTTGCAGCATCACTCATGTTTCTGCATCAAAAAGTTCAGATGTCTCAGGCTTGGGAACCTCAAACACATCCAAAACCTAAAATATTTCCAGAACTTAATGAATTTCTAAACCTTTTTTTTGTGGAGTTAAAGACAACTTTTCTTAAATTTTGTTTATTTGGTGCATATTTTATAGGAACGATAGTAATTGTTATATCACCTATTTTATTTTTAATGATTTTGTACCTTGTTGTATTGTATTTTTATCTTCCAATTATGCTTACTTTTTTTGGTATTATTTTTTTCATTATTGGTGCTTTTTTAATTATTATTTCACTAGGATTTGTGCAAATTCCAATACAAACATCCTTCTTTATGTTTGAGGTTCTTTATGATTGTTACTATGTAATTCCTGTTAAACCTTATTTAGAACTTTCAGCATATTTAGGAAGTTGTTTAATAATGAATCTTGGCATTTAAACTTGTAGCTATTAAATTATTAAAAACGTATTTTTTTACTAGAGAAATTTAACAACAACAATAATAAGTTTCTTTCACTAAAAAATGGAGGGAAAAATAATGTTGATTCATTACTGCCTGATGAGTGTTTTAAATTTTTCTTCAAAATATGATAATTATATAAAACATGAAAGTAGAAGGAAAAAAAAAAAGTTTTACAAAATTTTTTTTATTCTCTGTAAATTAAATAAACCAGCAAAATAATATCAATTGGTACATATTAATTAATATGTTTACCGCTTGTTGTTGTTATTATTATCATTATTACCAATTTGCTTATTTAAATTACCTCTCATTGTATCAGACATTTTTGATTAGATATTAACACATTTTTTTCTATTAATCCGAATTCTTAATTCTGGTTATAGTAAAAATAGTATATCTGAACTATTATTTTTGGAAACTTGTAATTTAAATTTTAGTCAGTTAATAATAATATTATGCATTAAAAAAAATCATCAAAAAAGCATATTTCTTCTATATAAAATAAAAAATTATGAAATCAGCTACGCCAATTCATTCTTAATTATTGAACTAGAATAATCTTTTTTGAGTGTATTATATAAACACATTAATTATGATATAGATAACCTTTTCCTTGATGATGGAAGATTTTAGGTGTATTTAACACCAAATTCACCGGGTTTAGAACCCGAAGAAGATGAAGGTGTCCCAGCGCTAGCACTAAATTAACATTCCATGTTAATAAAAGTATATGCTTCAGGTTTGTATCTGGATATAGATAATGAAGAGGGCCATGAGTCCTATCCAGTTAAGGCGTTAATTGATTCATCATTAGTAAAAGCTTAGTTGATAAATGCGGAATAAATATATTACTCCTGATTCTTCAGAGACGAGTGAATCTGATACCAGTTTAGATTAGTGTTCCATGTCGCAATCCAAAAAAGGAAACAAAATGGTTGTAAAGGTGGTTGCAACCAGTGGTTGCAATTGTTTTTATATGACGCAAAGATGGTAGCAACCATCATCAAAAGTTGCAGCCGGTATCCTTAGTTTAGATGTGTCCAAATTCAGATGAATCGGAGACTCGAAGCTTTACTTCCTCAAAAAATAGCACCAGAATTGGCATGCAGTAACCAACTTTTTGTGCATGACAACTTTGTGACCCCAATTGTCCAAAGTAGATTATTGACGTTCTATGCTAACCAAATCACATCACACAGGATATAGAGTATTTTAATCCAATGTCATGTATCATTGCTTCTTTTGTTTTTACGCATAAATACGAGGTATGTGTATCTGCGAAGCAAAATGATTAAACTTATTTTTGATGTCAATTTAGGAACAGCGTCAAGATTCTAGGTCCCTACCTATCAGTAACAGATCTCACATACTAGTATTATTACTATATATATAGATAAATTTTAATGAATCAACCATGAAATTCAAAAAATCAGTGATTCTCGATCTTTGAAATTATATGCAAGTCTCGTCGGGAAAATCTTTAGATATGTATAAAGGCAGGACCTGTTTGAATATGTTTTATACCACATAACATTCGAATAAAAATTTATTAAATAAGTCATTCAGAAAACACGTTACTGTAAAATAGTAATTTTTACATATCACGAAAATAAAATCGGAAAAACTGATCAATATTGTTATTCTATCATCAATAAAATAGTTGTTGACTCACGAAAAATATCTCAAACAACGGAGAAATAAATATTCTAACATTCTAAAATATAACAGACCTTTAATTCTCAGATTAAATTTAAATAAAGGAATTTAAATGATTCGATCACTTTAGAAATAACTTGAAAATAATTCTACAGTACAAACAACATGTCATATGACCACAAATTGGTTTAGGAATTTCTAAACTAGTTCAAATAGGAGATTGGAGTTTTTAATTATATATTGAGCGCAATCAAATTTTTGATAGATGTGGGATTTGATATTCTTTTAATATCTTTTATTAATTAATAACTTTGTTGATACGTATTTTTCTATTTTTTTGTATCATCATTGCCTAATTGAAAATTTTAAATAAATTAATCATTTTTAATTTCACCAAAGTTTTTTCTTAAGTTATGAATTTTGATTTTAGTCAAGGACTTTGGCTTAAGCCAAGGTTTTTCTGCTTTCGTCATTTTTGACTTAATAGTAGTGGACTTGATAATATTTCGAGTTAGGATGGTTATCAACAGCTATTGGAAAACTTTAAATTTATGCTGAAAATTTAAATTTGTTATAGAAATAATTGAATTAATCACTGCGTAGGGTTTTTATCCTTTAGGCTATCCCAATAAAAAAACTGAGTTGATTGTATCTAAGAGTAATTCTATTATTATTAAATAAAATAAAACGCATTTTTTAGGATGAGGATTTTCCAGTACATATTCCATACTCAAAAAAATTCAAATCACGATTACCAGAAAATGCATGAAATCTCCATACATAGTGCTCATGATGCTTAGTGTTAAACTCAACCTTTAAAGTGTCATTAGAAGAGTAAATAAAATTGATGTCATTTATTACTGGAAGCACTATTTCAGTTTGTTAAATGTTACAATGTTATCAGTTTTTGATTGAATTTGATTTTTGTCCATAACCTGATTGGTTCCTGCGAATATTGTAATTACAAACAATATTTCTTTTTTAGTAAAGAATTAATTTAAAATTTTCTTTCCAAAGTATTATGAAATTATTGTTATTTTTTTCTCCATTTATTTTCCAAAATGGAATATTTTAATGTTAAAAAACTGACATTCTTTTCTAAAAAACTTACATTAATCACTCTTTTATTATGTTTATTTTTGATTCCTATTGTTAGAGCTCCACCACCTCCACTCTCTCCTTCCACTATTTCTTCTTCTCGTACCCTAATTTCATCCACTATTTTCTCTTCATCCCCTACTTCCTCTTCTCACACTCTAATTTCCCATTCATCTCTTTCACCACCTTTATTCAACGAAAATGTTGATTCATTTTCTGCCACTAATATTGATGAATCATATCATATTTTATATCTTATTGATGTGTCCTTATTAGTAT